AGTAAAGTATGCTTTTATATTTATTGCTGGCTATTCAGAATCGGATTGCTGTCAGGATGCACCGCTTTCGCATCGTTTTCCAGACGGTCTTGGTGCCAATACGACTTCTACTTTGCCGCCATGACGAGTCCGATTGTCGAAAGTCATGTCGGGTTCAACTGGCGCTCAAGTGGAACTGGTTGTGATTATGTCCAAGGTCAATTTGAGGGAAGGCTTGACATTGTCTATTGAATTTTCCCATCAGTTCGATACGAAACCCGTCGAAAAGGGGAATGTCTCGACAAGAAATGGGATCTTGATTGCCCCGAAAAAATGACTACTCACGATAAAATCAGTATAGACCCGAGTCTAATGGAAAATTACGCCTATCGGCAAGAAATTCGCCGCAAACCGATACTTTGCCTTGTCTTGACACTCGCTAAGATTGTGTGAGTGAGGATGCGCCGCGCGAAGGAGTATGGCTCGAATCCGTCTCGAAATGATGATGAGATGAAGAGCGATAAGGTGAGGTGAGGAGAAGAGAGGAATTTCGGTATGCATGCGAAGGTACACTTCAAGAGAAAGATTCCCATAAAATCCTCACAGACAGGGACGCCATTTGCCAAAGTCAGAATGACGCGATTCTAAAACATTCTGAAGTATCGACAATTGGCAGCCTTCTGGCAAGCTCCCCCAAACGAATACGAACAGCACGTCAGTTGCGCATCGCATTGAATGACAAAATTGCAGTTGACAATTGACAAACGTGTGTCGAGATGATCCTGTCCTACCCGAAGGTACGATGACCAAGATTGTGTGTCTTCTGCTTCGTTCGTCGCCCCCTTCCGTCGTACGGGGGCGGCTTAACGTCGTATTTGTAAATTTGTTCTGCAGCCAGAAAGGCATTGACGACCTCGTTGTGATTGTGCTCATAAACATGTCCAACGTCGAGTCGTGAATTAGGTACCTTTCCAGTCAAGATGATTTTCTAAATCGCATAATGGACTGAATTCACCATGTAAATAAAAGAGAGTGGTAGTTTCCATTTTCACTTGTCCCTATTGGTAAAGAAGGAACTAAACTGGGTAGAGGTAAATAAAATGAGGGTTTTGCTTCAGAATGTACTCTCTAATAACACTTAACGGATTAAAGTGGGCAAAGAAAGAGCTGACAATAGGCATGAGGACAAAGACGTAAGGCGATTAAAGAAAAGTTTGGTTGAGAACAATTATCCATCAGGATTAATTAGCAATTATACGAGAAAAATACAAGTTTCGAAGATGTGCATAGTTTCATTGCGTATGGAAGTACCAGAAGGTGTGGGAAGATTCGCGTCGTGCTACGGCCATTTGACGTTAATACGACGTTCAAGTTGATGCAGTCAGCCTGGCCTTAGGATGCCTTACCTCGAAAAAGAAATTCGTTTTCCTAATGGACTGGGGATACCAACTTGCCTAGGTCTCATCCGGACCATCTACATAATTCTAAACTGGAAGCTGAGAAGCCTGGCGAAAAAAGCAAACTCGGCCACCCCACTAGGGCACAATTTGGTGAGAGGACAGAAATGACCTGCGAGGTAGGCCAGACCTATGACACGTCAAATGTCTAGAGATGAGTTGTCGACAGTTGTCGACATGCTGCCACAGAAAATAAATGGAAAAATCCATCCGAGCTTCAAGTATATGCTCATTTTGTGCGCCTGCAATTATCTAAGTTGTTCGGGCCATCTCCTCAAAAAACTCAATTAGAATGGTCAGACAGACTTTCTGCAAATTATGAGGTGTGCCAACCCAATTTTGTTTAAGGTGATGAAGGACTGAAAATAGAATTTTTCCACAATAGAGCTGACGCTTCCATTTACTTCCATTTACTACTTGCCCTAAAGGCATTTTCATCCAGGCCAGAATGGACTGCAGTTTCGACCTACTTTACGTCTCCTCAGCACCCCCGGCGGGACTCGAACCATGGCAATGCAGCGTATAATCTCGACACGTTAACCGCTACGTCACATTTTCACGAGAGCTCTTGAGTGACAGGGCAGATGCGACGTTCAAAGAAGACCAGGCACTCGCCAATATCACATTATGTGGTGTAAGTTTCGATGAAGCAAAATTATATTTACCATAGCAACCGATTACGCTACTTATTTTTCGTCTGTAAGTAGGTTTAGAGACTACCGGTAAATCAGATAAATAAGATGTACAAAGTGTTGCTTTGACCTTCTTAACTCTACCCGGCTTGAGCAATACAAACACCTTTCAGAACATACGCATTCTAGCATCGTCTGTCACAGTCTTCATGATCATTTTTAGCATCAACTCGCAGACATCGTCGACAGATTTGCACCTCATCGCCTAACTTTCCTTCAGAGACATTGTTATATGACCAAACCAAAATGGCCTTTATTTTTGGATCACATGAACATTATAGAAAAGTTTAGCATACATATTTATTGAAATTGTGGAACAGATGGTGAAAGTCAACAAATGCCAAGTCACTTTGATGAGTTGTCACTCTGTGCCAAGCATGGTTCCTGTCTTGTGGGGATCTACCAAGTCTGCGGTCTGATGCTGGAAATGATCGTGGGCACTATCGTGGAAGCTGCCGGACCGGGTATGTAACTAAAGTGCCTGTGTCGCTTAGAATAAGTTACAAAAACAAGGTGAAACCAGCCCAATTCAGCCATAGGAAGATGAGACGAAACCTAAGGCCGCATCATTCTGGCTTCATATCTATCAGCCCTTAAGTCACCCTCACTGACCTCAACTAACATGCTATAATCGAAGATTTTTTTAGATTACGTATACTACTTAATTCACTAATAAGTATTTATCTCTACTACAATCGTAAACTTATGTTTGCTTCTGGCGAGAAGAATATATGAATGCCTTTATCTCGCTTCTCCAAT